GTATGTATATTTTGTATGCATCAAAATCTCATTTGTACTTTTTACAATATTTTAAGGTCAGACGACACGTTCCTCAAATATATGTTTAATATTTCTTGGTATCATATATAAAAAAAAATATTCATATTTGTCATTCTCCTCTGATTTCTACATTGTTTTCAAAATATTTTAAATATAAGAAGACCAAAAATTGTAATATAGGTTATTCAGAATATCACCAATAAAGGTTATATAAGTAATATGACCCTGTGGTATCTTGTCCAAATGCCTGGTAAGGTACCCTTAATTTTTTGTGAGGAATCTTGTTAAAATACCTGTTCTTCAACGACAATTTCTTAAGAAAAATTATATATTTTTTAGGAACCTTAAACAATTTTTAACTTAGAGAGACATAGCTATGAAAATGCTGCAAGGAACTAGTAACACTAGCAGATTTAGAAAATGTGCTACACTTTTATTAATATTCTGAATAAATGTTTTAGCAAACATAGACTCCAACTTTTGTATTGATTGCTTTTTAATTTAAAAGGAGAGTGAATTTGTAAGTCAACATTTAATTACTCTCTTCCTGGTCAGTTTTGTGATCAAATATTTGGTAAGTCGATCTGAGGAATGGTGTGAGCGCTGATTGGTCGGGGATACAAGTCGTAGAAGGGTACACACGTACGTGTAAAGTGTATAAACACCGGGTAACTCCGGCTTTAACGGGGTATCAGAACAGGGTATGCAGTAAAGTACATCCAGATCGATAGATATGTATATATTCCGGTCCTAGCTCCCATCATCTCGATATAATGTTTAGTTTCAGCGGGTACCCTGTACTTAATACTTGACATCACCTATACTAATCCGAATTACCTGTACCTAATTCTCATTGCTCCACATTACATACATACATACACTGTACTTATTACATATCACTGTATTGAGTATAATTGTTCTAAACAAGTAATACGAATTCGTATTACTTCATGTCACATGTTCAATGTTCTCGACTCTTAATTATTGCTTAATTATGACTTCAAATTTTCTACTGTCCCATCACCTGCATACAGATTTTACATGTTATTGACAAACAAGTTGATGAAACAAAACTTGTCATGATCGAAAAATAACGGGAAAATCCCGTAAACAGGTGATTGGGGTATGAAACAATGGAGATAACGAACAGTATTCAAGATCAAAAGTCCATTAAACAAAACAAAGTAGGAACAGATCAAACACGTACCTCCAAAACATCAGAGGTGGGATCAAGTGCCATGGAGGAGTGATCATCCCCTGTCGACCGGTCACACTGGCTGTGTGCTATTTGTAATGAAAATCACGAAAAAATCCGTCGTCATTTCAGTCTATATGTTATGGACAAACTATTTGTATAAAAAACATCAGTCGGCATTTGACTCAAAGACAAATTGTATTTCCTGACAAGGTCATTGTATCAACCATAGAACTTACGAAATGATGACTTTAAACGAGACTGCTGAAATTTTTGTTTCATCAACTTGTTTGTTAATAATTTACCTCGTTTTAGAAATTGTCATATGTAGAGCATAATCTTGCGTATCGAATCAACTGAGATATATAAACTCCGTATGCAGATGATGAAGATATATTGCTGCATAAGTAAGGGAAGTTGACGAAAGTTAAGGACATACGCAAGGTACCTTACCTACTGATGATTTTTTAAGATATTATAAATTTAAACTTATAATACCATTACATGTTCCTAGTCAAAAAATCAGCATGCGTTACCAGGGGGTTTGAAAAGATATAAAATTGTGAAAAATTTTGCATCATTCATAGAAAAATGTACAAAAATTACAAAACATAAATTACAGATTTTTTTCATCAAAAATTGTTTTAGAAGAGATGTACAAATCCATATATAGACATTAAAAGTATTGCACACAGGTCCTTCGTTTAGTGGAACTCTTCAACTCCAGGGAAGAATCCAGTAAAGTTCAAACTACGCGCGTTGCGTATGACATCACGTTTATCATAGAGCTTGGTTGTTAGATAACCATCAACGTCTTTTTTATATAAAATATCGAAATATGAAACAGATGTGTCAGACTCTCTTGTATCTTTTATCTCAAGCTCACCAGGATATATCGTATCGACATAAGAATGAAAATTACCATTATTAATTGACAATACATCGTCGACATATCTAAATGTCTAGTGGAAGGCCACAGCACTCGATTTCTTTTTTACGTTAAAGATTTTGCATACATTCTGCTTCATATGAATACAAAAATAGGTCTGCTAATAAAAGGGCGCAATTGGTACCCATGGGAATTGCAAAAGATTGTTGGAAGACCTGGTCTCCAAAAACAACATATATGTTGTCAATCAAGAACTCCAGCCTCTTTTTGATGTCAACTTCAGAGTTCTTGTGTGTACAATCAGAATGTTTTTAAGAAATTAATTTTGCAAATGACCAATGACAAGGTAAGTATATTTGCGATTCGCATTTTATTGAAAAAGCAGCTGTCAATGATATCAAAAAACCTGGACTTTAATTTATCGTGAGGAATGGTTGTATATGAAGTTGAAAATTCGTTAGTGTTTAAGCTGTTGATTTTGGTGAATTCCTGTGATTTCAAATTGTCCAAAAGTTCCTTGGAATTTTTAATTTTGAATCTTTTTTCACTTCTTGATTATTGAATACTGAAGGATAGATGGTTTTTCATATTGCCCCTCAATCTTATTTACTAATACGCGATTTTAACATGGATCTGAGACATTCAATCCATTCTGAGAAAGTGTCAACGTCTTCTTTTTCATTTCTGGCTCATCGTCTGGCGTAATCTCTAACAGAATCTATAATACATTGTATTGATGAAATTCCGACGCCTGTTGAAGGATCGGAGTTTCCTATATTTTGGACCTTTTAAAATAGGTGATATTGCTGCATACGCAAGGGGAGTTGACGATTGAAAAGTTAATGTAATCATGCTTATCGTATAGCTATTATGATTTTATAATATGATTTTATGCATATGTAAATATACCATGTATATAACGCCTCTTACTAGTAAGATATCAAAATATGGAACATATGTATCAGACTCTGTGGTATCTATTATTTCAAGCTAACTGGGATATATCGTGTCGACATAAGAATGTAAATAACAATTTTAAATTGACAAATTGCGTCGTCGATATATCTAAATGTCGAGTGGAAGGCCACAAAACTCATTTTTTTTCTTCTTTTTCACATATATAATTTCTGCTTCGTGTGAACACTAAATAGGTCTGCTAATAACAGGGCCAAACTGGTACCGATGGGAATTCCATAGATTGTTGGAAGACTTGGCCTCCAAAAATATTATAGATATTATCAATCAGAAACTCAAGCATCTTTTTAATATCAATTTCAGAGTACTTTTGTGTACAATCAGACTGGTTTTTTTTAACAAAGAAATTTTGCAAATGACCAATGACAATATGAGTAGATTTACGAGTTCCATTTTTATTGGAAAAGCAGTTGTCAATGACATCAAAAAGCTTGGACTTATTTACCGTGGAGAATATTTGTGTATAAAGTTGAAAAGTACTTATATTGTTGATCTAGGTAAAATTTTGTGATTTCAATTGTTTTACATGTTCCTTGGAATTTTTCAGATCCACATCTGATTTACACTTCTTCTCGAATAAATTGTTGCACAGTACTCTTGAAGTTTCTCCTTTACTACTGTTAATATTTCAGTAAGGAGAGAAACAAAGAGGCGTGGTAGAACATTTACTGGAACCCGCTATGCACATGTACTAGTATCTTTGTTTGAATGGCTTTTTTATGGCGTTTCGGAATCAAATTTAGATATGGTAATTCAAATTCATTTTGGTTGTTGGGAATATTAGAAATATTTAAAACTGATATATGAAATTTGAATAATCTGCTCCTTTAAAAGGGAGCTGTGGTTAAGGATAGGATTAGCACTTGTAAAATTAAATCCCAGTTTCTCTAAAATACATTTAATTTATAAAACAATCTGTGTCATGAGACTTACAAAAAAGACAACGTTGTTACCTGCTTTGTCAGAAGGGACAAGTAGATCTTGTAATCCATCTTAACTCTTTTTTCACTTCTGAATTATTGAATACAGTTTAATGATCTGATTTCTAATAAATAATACCACTTTAACCAGATTTTTTGAATGCTGTTATGTAGTTGTGTAAAAATTAAAATAAGTAAGTAATCGTTTATTATTGTGACATTGTGGATTATTTATTGTAATTTACACTGTAAGCAAACTAAACAAACCACAACTGGCGGTTCGTATATGATACATTTTCTTTGATCTTAAAAATCGAATATTTTATGACAACCAAAAGGCAACATCCAAGCTACCCTGTACTTTATAGTATATTCTTGCTGCTCTCTACTTCTTTTATTACTTATTATTAGAAACAATGAACAACATGAAAAAGGCAACGACATGACGTCTTAATGTGTAGAAAATCTCTGTGAAAAAATGTTTAATTTTAAAGATGGTAAATTTGCATAAAGAATAAAATTTTATCCCAATGCAACCTTAATGCTCAAAAGAGGGTTGTGAAATTCTTTTGGACATGCAGAATTTTTTTTAACTTTAAGTTGAATATCAATTGATACTTAATTTTTATCTTGTTTACTACTACCATCAACCATGCTATAAGGTACTTTCAATATTACTATGAAAGAATTAGGAAAAAAAAATATGAAAAGATGAAATGCAGGACAAAATAAAGCCATTATACAGAGTTGTGCGGAGGATGACCCGGTGTTTGGTTTGTGGGTAGTTAACGCCATGAGTTTTGATTACACACTCTGGTGTAACATCACAATTGTTATATTCTGTTAAGTACAGGAAATGCCGTGGGATCCCCTCGTCTTTGATGTCAACAAACGAGAAATCTGTGGACTACACAGAGACATTTATCATTTAGCACACCGAGATATCTAGATCCTTAATAAATCAATATGGCTCGGATTTCATTCGATTGCCTACCACTAC